TTCATGCCTTTCACCCAGCAATTCCATAAATTTCTCTTTGTTTCTTTAATTCCATCAACTGCTGGGAACTTATCCAATGGATAATAAGTGAGTGATGGAAAGATTAATATGTGAGGATAAATTAATGATAAAATATTTGTGCCCTTTTGACATGTCTTCATTCTTTGAGCACTTGTTATTTTTTGACATAGAGAGATGTTTTAGACTCATCTTGTACATTTCTGCCTAAGCCCTGGAGTTAGCCATTTCTCCAAGGAGTTGGCCATGGTTCCTTTTAGGGGCGAATGATATTTAGAAACTAAGATCTGGATACCCCAAATGCTTATTGCTGCTTCCAAGGCCTTCTCAGTGAACGGAGCTAGGGAGCATATGTATATACACACACCCCACACACATCCCTCTTTACATCTATATTTCTGTATTTACATTTATTGAATTGAGCTTGCACTGATATATCCAGTTCCAGTAAAATACCACATGCTTTGTTCCAGTTTTCTTCCTTTTCTTACTGGTACTTCTTTTCCAAAAGTGAGAAACCTAGTTCCTGTTGTTCTTAATATATTTACTTATTTGTTTTGGCCTCTGTTCTTGTTCAGTTTGTTCCCCACTCCTTGTGCGAATGCCCTACTCACTCTGCTTGGGCTGTAGCTCCTTTCAGTGTACTGCCACTTTCGCTGTCCTGCACTGGGACACCCTTCTCACCCTGTTCAGGCTTCCATTCCGGTTCTGAGGCTTCTCCCCTCCTCCATACGAATGCCTCCTTACCCCACTAAGGGTCCAGCATCCTGTTTCAGGTTGTCCTCCTATATGTGGATGCTCTCACCTGCTAGGCTCTGACACACTTCTTACTGCGCCACTCCTTTATCGCGATGCCCTCCTTACCTGATTGGGCGCTGATACCTTGCCCCTGCTTGCCTGCTTCACTCCAGTGACATCCTCTTCACCCCATTTGGACATGACCATCCTATCCAACCCACTCTGAAGAAGATACCTATGTTGTTTGGCTTCATCTAATGGTTTTTGAGCTCAGTTTTTCAGTTAGGGGAAGTATGAATAGGAATTAAAAGAAGGCCTGGTGCAGTGGCTTATATCTGTAATCCAGCACTTTGTGAGGCCAAGGCAGGAGGATCACTTGAGTCTAGGTGTTGGAAACCAACTGGGACAACATAGTGAGACCCTGTCTCTACAAAAATAAAAATGAATGTTAGCTAGATATGGTAATGGGCGCCTGTGGTCCCAGCTACTCCAGAGGCTGAGGTGGGAGGATCACTTCAGCCCAGGAGGTCAAGGCTGCAGTGAGCCATCATCATGCCACTGCACTCTAGCCTGGGTGACAGGACCCTGTCACAAAAAGAAAACAAAATAAAACCAACAAGAGCCAACAGTTGAATATTGATATTATTTTATTGGTTTTCTTAACCTGGAAAAGGTGTTGCTTATTGGCTGTTAGTGATGGTGAAAAGCCAGGCCCCATTGGTACCAAATCTAAGAAGTATTTTAAAAGTGTAAGAAAAAGGAAAGATATGATTAATACAAATTAAGAAAGGCAAAAGGAATGAGACCGGAATCTAAAAAAGTAGCTGTGGGGTATTGAGAAACAGAATCAGAGTAGTAAAGGAGAAAATGCCTAGCATTCTGAGAAATTTAGTGAAAGGGTGGCCAGATGTTTACTTCATTAATTTCTGAAGATAGCACTGTGTTGTACAATAATTAGCTTTTAAAATTTTGCACACAGGTCATCATACAAAGGGTATATTATGGTTGTAATGTAGAATAACAAAAGGTTGTGTGTACTTCATACATTCACACAGCAAGACAAGGGAATGTCATTCTTTTTCAATAAGTTTTAAGTCTTCAAGGATTAGCTTTTTTTCTAGAGGATATTAACTCATCTAGAGCTCATCAATCTATCATTCCAATTAAGATGCTGTTATAATTATATATGTGTGAAAATGAAGTTGTCGTCTCCTCCTGTGTTCCCTAATTGCATCTAGTTACCAAGACTGAAAATGTCAACATGATCTTTAATTCCTCTTTTTTCCTATGCTGCCCACTTCCAGTCATTTCCTCTTCTCTTGGTTTTAACAATTTAATGACCTGCTGTGTATCTCTTCCTTACATTCTACCACTAGCTGCTTCAAGCTTTCTTTACTTTCTATGTGGGTGTTTGCCTTAGCCTCAGTATAATTGTGTAAATGTTATGGAAATGTCTTCTGCATCTTTTCCTTTGCTTGTCTACAGCACCTCTGCCTTACACAGGTAGTTAAATAAACGGTAGTTACATTAAATTGAGCTCTAGAAGCTAAATTCAGGAGTGCTAGAGAAGGGACTGTGGTGAATTTAGTGCCTGCCTCAAAATGCATGTTGAGGATATTGTTGTCATGCTGAATTGGGGGCCAATCTTTGCCATATCTCTAATTCTTGTAAGAGAAGCTGGAAAATCATATTTTTCTGTGAAATCTTAAAATTTTCTCACCTCATTTTAAGATACTTCCTCAACAAAAAAGAGATTGACATTGCATTTTAATATATAAAAGACTGAGAAGTTCTACAGTAAACAAATCTGTGGAAAAATCTGGAATTCTTAGTCTGTCGTAAGTGATTCTTTACCATTTGACTCCAGGCTGCCATTCACTAGTGTCAGAAAGAATGTGCTAGATATTTTATTTTTTCATTTGGGCTATTCCCTTAGCCTGGAATTCCCCCATGTTTTTTGTTTGTTTGTTTGTTTTTCGAGATGGAGTCTTGCTCTGTTGCCCAGGCTGGTGTGCAGTGGCACAATCTCAGCTCACTGCAGCCTCCGCCTCCCAGGTTCAAGCAGCAGTTCTCTCTGCCTCCGCTTCCTGAGTAGCTGGAATTACAGGCACCCGCCATTATGCCCGGCTAATTTTTGTATTTTTAGTAGAGACGGCATTTCGCCATGTTGGCCAGGCTGTTCTTGGACTCCTGACCGCAGATGATCTACCCGCCTCGGCCTCCCAAAGTGCAGAGATTACAGGCGTGAGCCACTGCGCCCGGCACCCCCGTGTTTTCGACTTCATCCCTCACTCACTTCTTTTCCTGGCTTTCTAGTTTGCATTTCCCTGACAGGTACATTTATGGTATATACCTTTGCCATAAAGTTTTGTTGTTATGGCAAGATATAACTGTCTTATTTATTTATTTGTTTATGGATTAGACATGTCTATTTTCATTGAACTGGGACTTCCTTGAGGTCAAGGATCCACACTTAATACTGTACCATATACCTAGCACAGTGCATAGTGGATGTATAGTAGACCCTTCATAATGAGGAATTAACTGAACTAGTGAATGAAGGCAGGTAGGAACTAAACTGAATGTTATGGAGAAACAGTGGTTTTCTAATTGATCTTCCTATCTCTAGTCACCTTTAGTCTATTCTGTATATATTTTCTAGTGCAAGTTTCCTGTAGGAAATGTTTGTACTTGTTATTCTTTTGGCCAAACAGTATCTACTGATTTCCATTGCCCAAAGAATAAAGTCTGTACTTTGTCTGTGATATTCAAGAGCTTCTATGGTTGAGCCCCACTTCTGCTTTAGAGTTCATCTCCTACCCTTTCTTATTTTGCCTTTCCCTTCTAGCCAAATCTGATCACTCATTTGTGATCAGACCCTTTTGTGACTTTTGTTCAACTCTCACTTCTGATACTGTATTTCCCCACTTGAACTTATTGCAATCTTAGTATGCTTTAAGGCTCAGCTCAGAGTTCCCTCTTTGTTGGACCATTCCTTAATTCTTCAAATGGAAGAAATGGCTTCTTGCTGTATGGTCCTGGTGCATTGCGGCTCCCTTAATTGAACATTAAAATTTATCTCATTGTATAGTTTATGGATGCACCTTTTATACCTTCTGCTGGCTAGGACAGGGCTAACTCAGTACTTTGCATGTAGGAGGTATTTAATACATGTTTTTGAAAAAATTAAGTTCTAATATAGGATGTGCATTGATTTTGCTTTGTAAAAAAAATTAAAATTTAAAAACCTAATTCAAATGCAGTATATAGAAAATAGTGTGGAAAGATACTGTACCAGGAAGTTAACAATGGAATTGTGGCTATTTTAGAACTTATTTTTTGCTTGTCTGTATTAAAAATATTTATATAATGGGCATATATTGTTTTATAATAGAGAAAAATTGCTCATAATTTAAATTATTAGATTTAATAACTTGATCTTTAAGATTTTGTTAGGTAAATGAAACCTCTTCAGCTAGATAAAATGAATAGTAAAATTTGATGAAGTACTATATAGATCTGGTATTATATATGTATTAACATGCTGCTGAATGCCAAAAATGCTCAGAAATAAAGATAAAAATTGTAATAAGGCTGAGTGCAGTGTCCCACACCTGTAATCCCAGCACTTTGGGAGGCTGAGGCAGGTGGATTGTTTGGGACCAGGAGTTCAAGACCAGCCTGGACAACACGGTGAGACCTTGTCTTTACAAAAGAAAAGGCAGAAGTTAGCTGGGTGTGATGGCATGCACCTGTAGACCCAGCTACTTGGGAGGCTGAGGTGGGAGGATCGGTGGAGCCTAGGAGGTCAAGACTGCCGTGAGTCATGATTGGGGCTCTGTGGTTGATAGAGGGAGACCCTGTCTCAAAAACAAAAAGAAAAAAAAAAAAAAAAGAAGAAGGAGACCCTGTCTCAAAAACAAAAAAAAAATCTAAAAAAGAAAAAAGAAAGAATTGTAATAAGATCATTATTTGGACAAAATAGAACTAGCAGAGGTTATAATAGAGTTAAGTGACATAAACTCATAATATACAAAATAGTGATGTGTGATTAATGTGAGTTTGTTTTTCCCATAAGATTGTAAATAGGACAGTTGTGGGGAGTCAAGGGTAAATATTGGTTAATCTCTGTAATGTAATATTTTATGTAAATATGAAGTGTTTTTTTTTTTAAGCTCTTAACTCACATTTGAAAACAACTTGACATCTAAATAATTTAAAATATTTCTTTTCCTCTCCTTTAGGAATCAAGGAAGGACTGAGGTAAGATTATTTCTATGGAAATCTTAGTTAAAACATGAGACTATCTTACTTTTCATTAATAATAGTGAAGAAAGTGTTTGAATTTTGGAAAACGCCACATCAAGTGCATGGCTGGTGGTTAGGAATACATAAAGGTATAAATGCCACCCTTGTGTGAATGAATGGGCTCTTTTCTAGTTGTTCATTCTCAGCATTTTTCTTCTTTGACCTACATTTCCCCTCTTTTGGTACCATGAAACTGAGTAAAACTTCTGTAATACTGTACTAATACGTTAGTATTACTTCAGTGTGACAATGGCATTTGATACGGAGTTTTTGAGGACTTTAGATTCTGACCCATTGAGTCCAGTTTGTGATTTACAGTACTTATCACATAGTAGAGAGATATTTAATAAATACTTTATGATCTTCCTACATGCTTGGGAGATGAGTAATTTTGTTTATAAGTTTGTTTAGTGTAAAATGTGATGTTCTTTTGGGGAGATGTGATATCTGATGAAAAGCATTTTGAAAGAACACCTAGTATGTCTTTTTATTCTAAACCTTATTATTGAGCTATCCTTGTAACTGTTGAGTTGTATATGTGAAAACATTCAAAAATAATACCATGTACTCATATAGTTGTCATTAAGACCTACGAAATAAATACATCCTCTGTTTATGGGAGTGTTTAAGCTTTTCGGAGTAAATAGTTCACTTCACACCCCCACATCTTAAGTACAATTGCTTTCTTAATATTCTTAAAATATTCACTTATTCAGCAATATTATTTTTCTTCTATAAGCCAGGCACTCTGCTAGATCTTAAGGATATAAAATATAGTAAGACATGATCCCTTGACCTCAGACCTCAGAGATTTTTAGGAAAAAAAAAAAAAAGATGTTTTTTTTTTGAGATGGAGTCTCATTCTGTCATGCCTAGCTAATTTTTGTATTTTTAGTAGAGATAGGGTTTTGCCATGTTGGCCAGGCTGGTCTCAATCTCCTGACCTCAAGTGATCCGCCTACCTCGGCCTCTCAAGGTGCTGGGATTACCAGCACCACTGCGCCCAGCTGAAAAAAAATAATCTTACCCCTGTTTTGGAAAGAGTTCTTCAGCCACAGACTAGAGAAAACATGAAAACTGTCTTTTTTTTATGATGGTAGATTAGCCCCATTGTTCTTTTTGTTTTTGTTTTTTATTTTCTTATTAGTTGTAGTAATATTTATTTTATTTCAGGGGTACATGTGTAGGTTTGTTACATAGGTATATTGCATGATGCTGAGATTTGGGCTGATATTTATCCTGTCACCCAGATAGTGAACATGGTAACCAATAGGTAGTTTTTTAACTCTTGGTCTCCTCTCTCTTTTTGGAGTCCCTAATGTCTATTGTTCCCATCTTTAGGTCCATGTCTACCCAATGTTTAGCTCCCACTTGTAAGTGAGAACATGTGGTATTTGGCTTTCTGTTTCTGCACTAATTCACATAGGATAATGGCTTCCAGCTGCATCATTGCTGCAAATGATGTGGTTTTGTTATTTTTTTATTAGCCCCATTATTCTGACAAACGGGAATAGATTGTCTTTCTCTCTTTTGATTTTTTTAAGAGATAGGGTTTTGCTGTGTTGCCGAGGTTGGAGTGCAATGGCTGTTCATAGTGAACTACAGCCTGGAACTCCTGGCCCAAGGAATCTTCTTACCTCAGCCTCCCAAGTAGCGGGGATTATAGGTGTGCATCAGTGTGTCCAGTTTACATTCTCTTTTTGTGAGCGAGTATTAAGGAGTTTTTAATAAAGTTAAAGTGTTTAGTGAAATGACTGGAAAACACATTTAAAAACAATTTGATTTATAACTAAAATTTTTTTCTATATAGTTTGAATACAAAAGTCTGTTATAATCTCTGGTTAATGTATCTATTAGGTGTCATTTACTTTGAATGAGGACCTTGCAAATATTCATGATATTGGTGGAAAACCGGCTTCAGTCAGTGCTCCTAGAGAACACCCATTTGTCTTGCAAAGTGTTGGAGGACAGACATTAACAGTGTTTACTGAGAGCTCATCAGGTAAGTGGGAATGGAATTATTTAATGTGATTCCTGTACTTGTTGTATAGATTTTCTGTCTCAACATACACTCTTGTTTGCTTTTTTTTTTTTTTTTTTTTTTTTTTTTT